CAATAAAGGATTCAAGCCTCTAAACTCAAAGTGCTTCTCTTACAATTATTACTTGGACATAATGTAATTTCAGAAAAACACAGTTTCTTCACACCCGAATTTAGGAATTTAAAATGGAGAAAAAAAAAAAAATTAGAAACAATATGAATTCCAATGACACAAAAAACTATTTCACATGGTTTGAAATGAAAACCTGAAAGAACATAAACAAAGAAAATCAAATTTGAAAACAACACTGATCCACTGAGACCAGTAATCCATACAACACAGCCCTTCTGATTAAGTAGCTTTTGCCTTTCAATCTTCCCAACTGGACATTCTTGCCAAAATATGTTTGTTGAATTTCCAACAGTAGACATCACAGAAATGTTACGTTTGATTTCCCTTTCTACAAACAAACATTCCATTCAATTAGTGATTGAAACCATTACTCAAACACAAACAATGAACAAATTAAGCTGAAAAATATCCCACAATGCAGTTTTGTCCAAATACAATGAGACAATGAGCTAAACAAAGATTGCCCTTCCGATCTTTCACAGAGTTTGGAGAAAAAATCATAGCTTTTATGAAAAGATATCATGATCTGAAGGTGGGAAATTGAATCATATAAGCAATGAAAACAATGGTTCCAAAAATGTACATTGATTATGGCTTGTTAAAACATGCAATAAAATCATATAGAACCAACCCATCAAATGAAAACAACCAAAACTCACAGCGCAAACACATGCACATTAAACTGAAAAGAATTTTGCATATTCATGCACACACTCAAACTCAGAGATGGCGAGAGAGATCAAATACCTGAAAGACCTTTTGGGTTGTTTGTTGGTAATAAGAGAGAGGGAGAGAGAGGATAGATTTATAGAATGGGAGCCAGAAACAGGGGACGGAACACGGAAGCTGGCAGATTGATAGGCAAATGAAGGGTGAAAGTGAAAGCAAAAAATTTATTTTGTTTTTCTTTTACAAAAAAAAAATAATATATATAAAATATTTGGATAATTAATTAATTATAGAATAGTTAATAGAAAAAAAAAAAAGATTGTAAGTTATATAAAATAAATAGATAGCTTTAATACAATATTATGTTGAAATTTTTGTATTTAGTGATTTTAATTTCATTAATTGGGATTTTTTTTTTTTGATATTTCATAAAGGAATAAGTGATAAAATTAGGACACAAATATTATTTTAGGAATAAATAATAATTATAGAGATATTAATATTTTCTGAAAATTTTGCGTGTGTTTAGTAGTAATTGCCTATTTGACTCTGATCTAAATAATTTTTAAAAAATTACAATTGAGTTTAATTTTGACATTATTTAATCTGTTAATATTCTAGAATTAAAAAAAAGATGAAAAATGTAAATAAAATATGTTTCAAGAGTTAAATAATATGAAAATAGTAAAATAAAGTTCTTATATCCCTTATGTTCAATAAAAATATATTAAATCTAACTTGTAATATATATATATTATTAAAAATTTATTAGTCTTGACTTGGACTAAATAGAGTTGATAATTTGACTAGAATATTCCTTCAGTTGGAAAAAGAATTTTGAATAGTCCATTCAAACAATTAGATTATAATAGTCTACCATATGACTCTCACATTATCATATAAATAATAAATAGAGCATATTATGTATGAATATAAAATTAAACCCAAAGGTAGGTTTGAGTTCGAGAAGATTTGCTCATTTATTTATTTTCTAGGTTCAAATCAACATAGAGTCACTTACCAAATTTGGGGTTACCTTGAAACAGTGGATGTAAGAGTTCAATAGACCTCAGAATTAGTTGAGGGGCGCGAAAACTCACCGAACACCTGTTCATCAAAATAATAATAATAATAATAATAAATTAGGGAAGGCAAGTTGAAAGTAATTCAAGTTATAAATTATTTTATGAATTATGATTTTACGTTATTCAGAATTGGAATTATTATAAAAGTATAATTAAATTTAATATTATTTTTTTCATTTATGGTTTGTTTCGATAATTCTTGAGGTAAAATTATTAAAATTTGAATAAAAAAAATTATAAATACTAGGTAGTTAAAAATTATTATTGATCATTTTAATTAATTTATTCTAAGAAATAATTTCTTTATATATAAAAAAAAAAGGATCAAATGGGGCAATCCAAGGTTTTCCTAAAAAGAAAAATACCCAAACTCGTTAATGGGGCGGGTTCGGATTTCTTAGTATCCAACCCGACCCGCCCCATAGTCATCCCTATTTTGTTATGTTATTTTTAGTTCACACCAATTTATTATCTATGAGAAATAATTTATGTAATTTAATTAATTTATAAGTGAAATTATTAATTTGCGTTGTGTTTAGAGTGAATGGTGAGAGTTTAACCTTGTAAAAAATACTTTTGTGAAATTTATATAGTTTATTATTACTTTTTTATAAATAAAAATAAAATCAATATATTGTCATATCAGCTAAAATTAGTCAACCAATAAATGAATAATAATAATTCAATTTAATTGAAATTAATGTAGTTTAAACCAGGATTAACATTTTAAAGTTTTCTTAGTGTTTTAAAACCCAACAGAGTAGCTGGGTCTCGATTTGACCGGTGTTCTTCAATCCAGTGTGTTTGAAATCTAATAAAATTACCCTTAAAAATTATTAAGTTCCTATAAGTTTAAAATCTTGCAAAAACACCCTAAATACCACCATCACGTCGACAAATAAAACATGTTTCTGGTGACGACAACACTCTCCATCACCATGAAAACACTCCCCTCAGCCTCCTTATTAAAACTCATCTCACCCCTCCCCCATTTGCCTCCCCAATTGCCAACGACATAATTTTACAATTTTTAATTGATTCACTCATCGGAAATCATTGCCATCGCTACCATTACACTCATCAGCTATTCCTCTTTAAAAACCTTAACATTCGAGCCTTCGATTGTTTACGGATTAATGTCCTAATTTTTAAGGTTTTCAATGAATATGAAAATTTGTAAATTAACCCGGTGAAAGCTTCGAGTCCTGATTGAACCGGCCGAGTCGGGCTAGTTTTTAAAACACTTGTTTTCTTACCAAAATTAGAACCCTCAGTTTTTGGTTTTTTTTTTTTCCCAGGTGTAAAACACCTTCCATGATTTTACGGAATTGAAAGCAGAAACACAAAGAACAAGAAAACAAAAACATGAACAGAGAAGAACACAAACACAAACACAAACAAATCCAAATCCCAATCAGACAAAAAAAAAATTGAACCTAAAAAGCAAGTAAAACAAGTTACCATTCAAAACAAAACAAAACCCATTTCTTCAATTGCCATTTCATTATCAATTACATATTCATACAAAACAACAACAACAACTGGGGATTGCCCGGCCCCCAAACGACATAAAGAACTCAATCGGAGTGAGAATCGTCGCCGTCGGAATCTTGATCGGACGACGACCAGTAGGAATTATCGGGGGAGAAGCACAGATAAGTCCAGAAAGAAAGCGCTAAACGACGGAATTGTTGGAATGGAACGCAGCAGAGAAGGTGGAGAACTTGATCGGTGGGCAATCTTTGTGGGTTACAAGCTACGAATTGGCACACGTTTGCTGATACATTGGCGACTCTCACCACCATAGAGCTGTTCAAAACCATAGCTTTGTGTCTTGTTTTTGTTTTCTTTGCTTTGTGTTTAAGAAAAAAGAAGAAAAAGGAATGAATAAGAATATATATGTATGTTATGTTGGTTATGTGTCTGTTGTTTTGGTGTAACAAAGTTCAAGAATAGAAATTTTCCAACTTTAAATTTTAATTTTTAAATTAATATTTTATTTTATAATAATTTCGATTAAGTTCATCAGTGAATCAAATTAGTGAGATTATATTTTTGTTTTAAATGATTGGGAGGTGTTAAGACTAACTTACACATACCTCAACTGATCTTCAAAACCCTTGAACTACAGACCAGATGATATGTTTGGAATTACCACCATGGGAACACACTTCAAAATGAGTCAAATATATTTAATGATTTTAATCCCACCATTTTAAGACCTTTTTTTTGTGAACGGGGTGTCCGAATCAGTTTACGTATACCCTGACTAATCTTCTAGGGCATTGAAGTTAACAACCGGATAAACTCACTAGTGACTACTCCTATTAGCAACCGAAGGGAATAAAACTCATGAATAATACATCTATGAGCCCCTATCACCCTATCAATCTATCTCAGGGTGGTTAAAACAAATTATATATATGTTTAGCAAAACATCTACCTGTTATGGTTGTCTGGAAGAACAGAATATGGGATTTGTTTGGTTTTGAATATGAAAATTAAAAAAAAAAAGGACTATTTTCTTCTTTGTTATTTATTTTAAGAGAAAAAAAAAAAAAAAAGGAAAAGAAAATATTTAATTTGTAAGATTATTCCCACTAAAAGACTAGGCTATATGACAGATTGATTTTCACATGCTTGAGCATTTGGGACATGTTTGAAAGCACTTTTGAGCAAAAACACTAAAATGTACTTCCAAGTAAAAACACTAGAAAGCACTTCCTGGGAAATTATTTATCGTTTTCCTGGTGCTAAAAAATGGTTTTCTCTATATAACAATTAAACAATACCAAATATATAAACAAAAGGTACTATTGGTTCTCTAAAAGCATGTTTGATGGTATCAAATTCAAAAAGCACTTCCAAATACATGCAGAGCCACAAAAGCTTGCCCAAATCAATTAGGATTTAGGATCAGCTCTCTAATTAGGCAAGATGAGGGCATTCCAACTTCTAGTATCTGAATCAACAACACAGTATTCACACACAAGGAGTCACTTTCAGATTTAAAAATAGCTAATATATCCACAAGCCGAAAAATTGATCACAATCACTGGAACTTCGAACATACTGATTTTACAATAGATGGTTTCGATCTGATCATGAAACTAAAACTTTTGCGTTACTGTATTATCCCGTTTGGTGAACATTCCAATGAATATTACAACAGTAATGAACCTCGAATTGATTTATAAATGAACTGATATTCATAGACTGTGAGATCCGGATACAACTGTATATATTGCTGATAATAAGGAATTAATATAAGAAGCTTAAATAGATCAAACAAAAGGTCTTGCTGATTCAACAGCGTGCGTTCCATGAACCCTATATCCTGTTGCTTGAAAATCCTAAATTATTCGCAAAAAATATATTCCCTATATTGGAAACTATTAAAATGACATGGTTTGCACTTGGAACATACTAACCTCCTCTTGTTCGCAGGTGGTAAAGCAAAGACACTTTTGATGTCGCAGGTTATATAAGATCTTCATATAGATATCAAAAAAATGCAGGGTGTTGATCACTGATCATGCAGATATCCTTTCTCCTCTAAATAAGTAACTACTTGTCCTGCCATGGCACCTGGCGGTGGGCAAACTCCATCCTTCTGTTTTATTTCTATCTGGGGAAAACATATATAACATCCAGTTCAAAATGCAGAAAAATATTATTAAGCCAGGCATAGTATATGACATGGCAGCTAATATATTTTTGGCCCAGAATATTAATGATTCATACAAGAAATCATGCGCACATGACCATAATTAGTTTAGTTTGAAACACACCTCACAATTCAACGGTGGTTCATAAGGATCGTCTATCCCAGTAAAACCTGCAAAGGCAATATGATTAATGGGAGGTGACCAAAGAGTGGTTGGAAGAAGGTTCAGTTGATCCATTTGGGCATTAATTGAGTGTATAAAATAATTAAATACAAACGAAATAATTGGGAACTAAATGAGTGTTTTAGAGTCATTATCATTGTCAGTTATATGGTTTCTTATTAAGATTCTGTTTGAAAGTCTTTTTTTTTCTGCATAGGGAAGTAGGCTAAAATTTTACATTCAGAATAAATCCTAAACAATTGAAACTTAATAAAATATGCAGTTAATAGGATAAGCTAGATGACCCTAAGACTCCAAACAATGGCATGCTCACTAGGTAAGTACAAAAATAAGAAAGATTGGAGTGCTGCAGTAGCACCTTTCTATCGCTGATCAGAAGCAAACATCTGTTATGAAGTACAAAGTTTTTAGAACAAGTATGGATCTAAATGGCATGAGCACAATGATATAGGAAAAACCTAATTAGACAACAGAGGTTAAAAAGATAGTGTTGAGATGCACAGAAAAAGGTATTAAAGAAAAACAAGATGATAAATTATTCATGTACCAAGAAAAAGGTGCCTTCTACACTTGCAACATGATGTAATGGCACCTTGAGATAAAGGGAGATAAAATGGTCATTTCAATTTGACTAAGAGAGATTCCAGTAAGCTGATAAGAGTTATCACTATCATATGACACCATTTTTTAACAAGCTCAGGCTTTGAAGTACAGACCCAAAATCGTAACAAGAAGCAGTTACATGAACGGCAGTATGACACTGCTCTTAAAGCTTTCTGGGAGATCCCAACATGTAGCCCATATTCCTTAGAAATCCGAAGGTCAGGACAGGAAGTTTAAATTGGAGCTCAAACAATATAACCATTAATCTAATATGAGAGCAGTATAAGCACCGCTATAAGATGTCAATAATTTCTTTTATGATTTCAACTTTAACCAAAAAACTTTAAAGAAAAAGTCTTCGGGGCATGTTCATAAAAGTTACAGAAGATATATTTTGAGACCAAACCTTTGATCTTGCCAGCCCGTGCAAGTTTGTAAAGGCCTTTAACATCTCTTGCTTCGCACAGTTCCAGAGGCATGTTCATGTAAACCTGTATATATGCAGTTAATATGACATTTCCTCCACAGAAATTGTAAAGGAAGAAGATAATAAATATCCAGAAAAAGAAGCCTTACCTCAATAAAGTTTGGATCTGACAACATTGCACGGCAAGCATCCCGGTCTTTCTTATAAGGAGATATCAGACTGGCAATGCAGATTAAACCGGCATCTGCAAACAGTTTCGCTACTTCTCCTACAGTAGGAAATATAACAACTAAGAACAAACCAAAAAAAAATATGTCACTCTGAAACATGTGACAACCACATGATTTCAGAGTTATATATGAAGCCAAAACGTATAATGCCCGATCGGGACAAACATTAGTATTTACAGTTGTTCTAATTGATGATACAATGTAATAATCATCAAGTGTGGATGTGTTGATATTTTACAACAGAAAAGCCATTTCATCCTTATTATTCTCATTACAGCATCCATTTAAAATTGCCTATAGTCACAAGTTTATACGTGCTAAAAATTAAACAATTTTTATCTGCATTTTAACAGACAGATGACTAGAAAAGTTTAGAATTTGCTGCATGATAGCAGTTTCAGTATCAGAAAGAGTTCACTGTGTTCCAACCTCTGCTGCTCACCACCTATACTTGGAAGCCAAATGTCAAGGGAATTTTGTCCAGTATATGTTTACTTATGGCTGATTAGACATATAGAAGAGCCACATTGGGATACATTGCATTGATAAAAGCTACCTCCAGACAATAATGGACAGATATGCACGCAAAGCATGTAGCATTGGGTTTCTTTACAATTGATTAAACAGCAACAGTGAAAAAGTATGGGAGGCATGCAAAACCTATTGAAACTACTGATGTTTACATTTAAACCAAGTCACTTCTCCAAATCAATGACTGACCTCAATAGAATATTTGAAATATTGACTGACTAAGTTTGCAAGCAACATGTAAGATTATACTCGCTAATCCAACATCGGTGATTTAAGTCAGTCAGTATATTGGCTTCCTTCATGTGCACAAACAAAGATCATTTTCATGCAACGGCATAATAGACAAAGATTATTTTCAACAAGAAGTGTCAATTTTGCTTAACTCAAACTCCAACGAAAGGTTATTTTGTGTACATAAACATACTTACCAACCCTACGTATATTCTCAGTCCGATCTTCTGCTTTAAAACTAAGATCTTTGTTTAGTCCATGTCGAAGGTTGTCTCCATCAAGGACATAAGACAGCTTCCCCCTAGAATACAGTTCTCTGTTAACTGAACATGCCAGTGTGCTTTTCCCTAAACAGTTGACCAAAATTCAAATAGAAATATTGTAATTGAGAGAAAAACATCATATTTGGAGGCTTTTTGAGCCTTTTGGATGCATATATAATTCATTCAGTATGCATTATAATTATGCATCTAAACATAAAAATATAAGCAAATTAGTTGCAGAAATTATGGCAGTAAAAACACAAAATTTGTCCAATTATATGAAATCCATGTTTGTCCACTCTTCTAGTAAATGATTGTATATTGAAAGTAATACAAAAACAAGAAAAAAAAACATAAATTTTTAAATTTCACATCTAATTTATAGGTTAGCCAATAAAGGATTCAAGCCTCTAAACTCAAAGTGCTTCTCTTACAATTATTACTTGGACATAATGTAATTTCAGAAAAACACAGTTTCTTCACACCCGAATTTAGGAATTTAAAATTGAGAAAAAAAAAAAAATTAGAAACAATATGAATTCCAATGACACAAAAACTATTTTCACATGGTTTGAAATGAAAACCTGAAAGAACATAAACAAAGAAAAATCAAATTTGAAAACAAACCTGATCCACTGAGACCAGTAATCCATACAACACAGCCCTTCTGATTAAGTAGCTTTTGCCTTTCAATCTTCCCAACTGGACATTCTTGCCAAAATATGTTTGTTGAATTTCCAACAGTAGACATCACAGAAATGTTACGTTTGATTTCCCTTTCTACAAACAAACATTCCATTCAATTAGTGATTGCAACCCATTACTCAAACACAAACAATGAACAAATTAAGCTGAAAAATATCCCACAATGCAGTTTTGTCCAAATACAATGAGACAATGAGCTAAACAAAGATTGCCCTTCCGATCTTTCACAGAGTTTGGAGAAAAAATCATAGCTTTTATGAAAAGATATCATGATCTGAAGGTGGGAAATTGAATCATATAAGCAATGAAAACAATGGTTCCAAAAATGTACATTGATTATGGCTTGTTAAAACATGCAATAAAATCATACTTAGAACCAACCCATCAAATGAAAACAACCAAAACTCACACGCGCAAACACACATGCACATTAAACTGAAAAGAATTTTGCATATTCATGCACACACTCAAACTCAGAGATGGCGAGAGAGATCAAATACCTGAAAGACCTTTCGGGTTGTTTGTTGGTAATAGAGAGAGGGAGAGAGAGGATAGATTTATAAGAATGGGAGCCAGAAACAGGGGACGGAACACGGAAGCTGGCAGATTGATAGGCAAATGAAGGGTGAAAGTGAAAGCAAAAAATTTATTTTTGTTTTTCTTTTACAAAAAAAAAATATATAAAATATTTGGATAATTAATTAATTATAGAATAGTATTAATAGAAAAAAAAAAAGATTTGATTATTTTGATGTAAGTTATATAAAATAAATAGATAGCTTTTAATACAATATTATGTTGAAATTTTTGTATTTAGTGATTTTAATTTCATTAATTTGGGATTTTTTTTTTTTTGATATTTTCATAAAGGAATAAGTGATAAAATTAGGACACAAATATTATTTTTAGGAATAAATAATAATTATAGAGATATTTAATATTTTCTGAAAATTTTGCGTGTGTTTAGTAGTAATTGCCTATTTGACTCATGATCTTAAAATAATTTTAAAAAAAATTACAATTTGAGTTGAATTTCGACATTTATTTATATCTGTTGATATTTCTAGAATTAAAAAAAAATGATGAAAAATAGTAAATTAAAATACTGTTTCAAAGAGTTAAATAATTATGAAAAATAGTAAAAAATAAAAGTTCTTATATCCCTTATGTTCAATAAAAAATATATTTAAATTCTAACATTGTAATATATATATATATATTTAAAAATTTATTAGTCTTGACTTGGACTAAATAGAGTTGATAATTTGACTAGAATATTCCATTCAGTTGGAAAAAGAAATTTTGAATAGTCCATTCAAACAATTTAGATTATAATAGTCTACCATATTGACTCTCACATTATCATATAAATAATAAATAGAGCATATTATGTATGAATAATAAAATTAAACCCCAAAGGTAGGTCTGATTGTCGAGAAGATTTGCTCATTTAATTTATTTTCTAGGTTCAAATCACATTAGAGTCACTTACCAAATTTGTGGCTTACCTTGAAACAGTGGACTTGTAAGATGTTCAATAGACCTCAGAATTAGTTGAGGGGCGCGAAAACTCACCTGAACACCCTGTTCATCAAAATAATAATAATAATAATAATAAAATTAGGGAAGGCAAGTTGACAAAAAGGAAAGTGTTTTCATTGTTCCTGGAAACAGAAAACAAAGTGGGAGGAGAAGAAACGTATTGAGTGAGGAATGAATGTGGTCATGTTTTGCTACCATATAAGCATTTTGTGTTGTTTTGATTTTTTGTGTTGGGTGTTATTTGGTCAAGAAGTGTTGGCCTATTTGAATTAAATTTGGTAGGCTTTAAACTTTTATTCGACTTGTTATAACTTGGTTTTGTCAAATGAGTTCTACGAAGGGCGTTGTCAAAGTATACTCAATGGGGTCACTTGACCCTACTGAAATTCAAAAATTATTAAGAACAGGTATATGTTTTATAGTAATTAACAATTCTGACCCCATTACAATTATTCATATTTTATTGAATAATTAAAGTAGATTAATCATATATATTACACTAGATTTACTAGTGTAACATGTTTCAACTATTTTTGCTTTGTTAATAAAATTAATTTACATAATTTTAGTAAACCTTTGTGTGATTGACCTTTTTTGTAGAAAGCATTTATTGGATTCAAAAATGAGAACAAAACCCAGTGTGTTTGCTCTTTTTCATAGTGAGCATTAAATAGTTTTGGAAATATCATCAATTAAACTTTCAAATTTATCAAAAATTTAATCAATTTAAACTCCAAAAACTATATTAACCTCAAAACGTTGTTGACAAATTTTAGATATTAGATTGATTGAATTTAGATAAATAGTAAAAATGTCATTTCCTTACAAACTTAAACAAAATAACCTAATAGTTCGTAAAAAATATGGGTCGGGTCATATTTTCGAAACCAATGAGTGCTCACTACAGAAAAAAACTAAACACACGAGCTTAGGTCATGTTTTCAAAATCAAGGACTGCTCACTATAAAAATGGCACAAAGGAGCTTTATTATATAAAAATGGGAGAACAACATTTTCCCACCCAAGGTTTGGCAAAACGACACTTTCCCATCCATCGTTAGGTTCTATTATGTTTTCTATTAATATTTGACTAAAAAGACAAAAATACCCTTACATATTTGACTTTATAATTTTTTTATAATTTTTTAATTAGCTAAAAAGTCAAAAAAGAAAAAACAATTAACCCCAACTAAAAAGTTAAGAGTAATGCTGTGGAATTGTTTAAAGTTAAATAACTTTAATAATTATTTATTTATTTATTTATAATGTCATCAATAGCTCATAAATATTATTCAATAATCTACTAAATTTATAATGTTTTCCATAATATAATGTTTTTCATTTTTACTAATTAACATAGAAAATCAATATTCCTAATTAATTAAATAAATAAAGGAAAAAAAATATCTTTACATTTGAACTAATAAATAATCACTTTGGCTTAACTAAATTTAATTTATAATAAACTAATTAAGAAATAAACTATTTAAGGGTATTTTTATCTTTTGAGTAAAATATTATTAGAAAACACTAACCAAACCTGACAAAGGGTGAGAAAGTGTTATTTTGAAACTTCACGGGTGGAAAAGTGTCGTTTCGCCAAACCTTGGTGTATAATGGGGGTTGCACATTTAGATGATAGTGCTTGTATGTTTATTTATGAAACAAGAATTTTTGTGATAAGATCAGTTCTTACAAGACACCATATGTGTTAGGCAGTAAATCCACGCAGCATGGATTCACGTCACATGTCCTAAGGTCATGCTGTCAATCATGCCACGTGTCATTCTATCTAAGGTTTACTTCACTTGTAAGTCTACCAATGCAACAACATATATACTGATCCGTCACCTTATTGGGGGATTCTTTGTACCCTATTCTGAACCAACTCATCCAAATTGAGAGTAATCTTCGCTAGCACATGAACAACATGCAAGAAAAGTAATACCATAGTAGTGGACACAAGATTTGCGTCTTGCATTTAAACCACTTTAAAAATTGTTCGTTCATTGTGTTTGTTTGCTATTTCCATACTTATTTAGCATTAAAATACCGATTTACTGCAAACCCTTATGTAGATTTTGTCAAAAAATTTACGTACTTCTTGTTGATGTCAAATTTTATCAACATTGTGGTGCTAGGAGGAGGGCCTAGGCCACTCCCAAGCCCGTCACCCCCTGGGGGTTGTGTTGGTGCCAAAATCATATATTGGTTAAGAGACGAGGGCTTGATCGCTTATATAACACAAGGATACCCTCACCACCAAAAGATGTATTTTCAGGACAAAACCGAGTAGACCCCGGGCCCAAAACGGATAATACCAACAATATGATAAGATGGAATATAAAATCTTGTTTCAAGAATGAAAGATTTGTATCAACATTGAAGCCTTGCACAGTGATTTCACTTTCGTAAAATGTCATTTCTCCCTGGTTGATTGTACTGTGCTTTTTTTCTTCCTGGTTGGATTCTTTGTCTCACTCTTTATTGCTCATAGATGATAAATTCCGCTTATTATGCTTTAGCAACATTGGGTTAAAGAAATTTTAATAGGTTTTCTAAATCGTTAGGGTGTTTGTGATGATTGCTATTTTTTTTGGTCAATCTTCTTGACTTTGCAAATCTAGGTTGGTGTTATTGAATTGTATGCTAGAATCTAGAGATTAACTTCTTTAATCTTGTTGGGATCCCTTGTGTTCCAGGCTTTGAACGATGAAGATGATGATGATAGATCAAACATGATGGTGGATACGCCATAATCTGTGTCAAAACCGAGTTCAGCAAATATACCAGCTAGCGATGCGAGGCCAAGGGAGGTTGTCGAAGCAAAAGATGGATGGACAGTAGTTTCATCTAAACGTAGCAACAAGGGAAAGATGAATTACGTAGAAGTAGAATCTCTCCTTTGGGAACAAAATATAGTTTCCCCATTTCCCCATTTTTTGCCTTATGTCCTGGGTAGTGTATGTGGTTCACAGGGTAATTATGGTATGTTATTGATTATTTAAATTTTAATCTTATGGGTAGCCAACTTTTTTTTTTTAACGACCAAGGTATTCGGGCAAACTTGCACGCACGTCGACTAATCCATAAGTCCCATTGAAAACCCTATAAACTCAATATTCCAAGATAAGTCACAAATGCGATAGATGGTTCCAAAGTTCGAACCTAGAAAGTCAATAAAGAGAGCAAACTTTGCTTGTGTTGCCATGCTAATTTACTCTAAGTAATAGATTTGTTGAAAGAATTGAATTAACCTCAAGAGGTTGACTTGGCGATCAAAGAGATTTGCTCTCTTTCCTAAGTTTCTAGGTTCATACATTGGGGCCCTTACTATAATAACATTGTGGCTTACCTGGTCCTTTGGCCTTGTAGGGTGCTCAGTAGACCTTGAGAATTAGTTGAAGTGAGCACAAGCTGGTCTAGATACCCTGGTTACCTAAAATAAAAAAAGAATTGAATTTGGCTTTTCTTATAACAGTGACGCAGCGAGTTAGCGTGATAAAACAAGGCTAGCACTCAATTACACCTTTAGAACTGATAACATAAGTCTCAATCCAGAAATTTAAACCTTAAAATTTGAAGTAAAATTTGAACAATTTATTGAATAATATCCAAAACGAAAAATAAGTTTATATAGGGTGACAACCAACCCTAATAAGACTTCTAATAACAAAAGGAAACAAAAACTAAATTAATTACAACAAGAAAACCTGAAATAAAATAGGAAAAAACGCGCAAACAACTAAAACGGCCCCAAAACACGCCAAAATGGTGGATTTTGACATTGAAAACAACCTCCAACCAGCTATAGCATGTTGCCACATGTAGGGCTTGAAATAAGCTTTTCAATGGTATCTTACGGGCCATGTAACTTTTCTTAGATCAAAAGTTATGGTCATTTGAATGAAACATGCTCATTTAGGACCTTTGGGCTTTATGTATGGACTTTTGACGTTCAGTCTGCTCTATGAATTCATACGCCAGATGTTCTACGTCAAATAGTCCTCCCCTGACCATTCCATAAAATCATCAGAAGTCGATCATTTATCCAAATAGCTAACTTTTAGGGGGTGTTTGGTTGGAGGTAATGTGGTATTACTAGTGTTATGTCATCTTATATTACTTGATTATTACGTTTAGTTGTTAAGTAATATAAGATTCTCGTAATCTTCAAACACTAATAGTAGTTACTGTTGGTAATATTGGAGGTAATCTGGTTACTTCTATTTTCTTAGGTATTCTAAGATTACCAGGGTAATTTTTTTTGTTACAATTCTATCCTTTATTAATAAAATTTTAGGACAATAATGCCCTTATTTTTAGGACAATATAGCTTTTATTATTTCACCCCAATTAAATAACTTTTTGGATAAAATTACCCATGATTTCAAAATAAATTGTAGCCTACCTAAGCCACCCCTCCACCCACCTGCCGCTGGCAACCAGCGCCATGGCCAGCCGCTGCCCCTACCGGAACGACGCATGAAAGGTCAAAAATTGATGTCGTGCACCGATATGGCCATTTTCGGCCATATATCTAGCCAAAAATGGCCAGATCCATCGATTTGGCTGTCGATGGCCAGATTTGTCACTTCTAGCTATTTCCAGCCAGATCTCTGGTTGGAAATGGCCATATGACACACGGAGGCCATTTCCTGCCTTCCGTGCGCCGTTAGATTGCCAGTGGCCGACAGTGGCTAGGTTGGTGATGGTGCTTTGTTGATTTTCCAAACTTTTATTATAGGGTTGTTTTTGCTAAGTTTTTAAATGCAGTGGGGTTATAATAATCCAAATAACAATCAATACTAAAAAAATAATATAATAATAATATTTAATTAGAGGATAATTCAGTAATTTAAATAACATACTCGCCAATTTATTCATCCCAACCAAACATATTAATATAACATATTAACTTAGTATTATGATAAACATATTTGACGCTAAGTTTATCATAATACTAAGTTTGGATTACCTTTTGGGAGTATGTTTTCTTTTAAATTTATACTCGTAAAACTTTTTGTGTGAGGGAGATGTATAATTAGCTGAGTGAGGCCTTTAGTGTTTCTTTCCAAATGAGGGCAAAAGCCGCAAAACTACTCCTCTTTACCCAGCTCACATACATTTCTTTTTTCTCTCTATTAAATCCACAATCCAAATTGGCCGGTAAAGTTCTTTTGGAGTTTAGTGTAAGCGCTTCAGCTACGGATACTTGTCTTATTGGGGTCTTGATTAGGGGTGGACAGGTCCAAGTACTTGCCCAAATTCAAAGGAATCGGAACTGGTCGATTCTTTGGATTTGGAACTAGAATCGACCAGTTTCGATTCCTAGAAGCAAGGAATTGGAACTTGAAACATAGGTTCCAATTTTGATTTCGAATACCCAGGTTAATTTTAATTATCCATTACTTTTCAAAACATGACAAATGAACCCTAAAAATTGCATACACCTCCACTAGTTTACAAAAAATTATAATTCAGTCCCGGTTCTTACCTGGGTACCCGGATCTCGGTTCTAATTCTCGGTTCTTATAGGGGTGAAACCCGAATTGGAACTTGAACCAGCTGATTCCTAGATTTTAGAACCGGAACCTACCTTGTGAGGACTGGTTATGGATAGGAACTGGAACCGGAAGTTTAGGTACCCACTGGTTTCGGTTCCGACCAGTTCTTTTGCCACCCCTAATCTTGATTGATAATCTCTATAACAATCTCACGTAGGTAATGATTATTTTCTCAAATTTGAAGTTTAAGTTATTATAACAGGACAATTAATTACAATTTGAGAAGTTTTATACATTCTTGTATGAATTGAACTTTATAGTTTTGAGTCAACAATTTGTTAAAGCTAACCTCTAACACCCGTTAAATGACCCTTTATTGCTAACTTTTGTGATTTGTTGAAGTTATTTGATATTAAGACATACAAACAACCCTTGAATATAACTTTCCCTAAATTACAATATAGACATGGACCAAGCCGGGCTCAGCCCAAGCCCAATATAGGTCCGAGCTCGATATCTATATTTCGCTATCACCATTTCTTACTATCTGCAAAGCTTAAACGAAGACGCCAAAACGAAAACTCATGCATGTACATGAACCATAATGCAGGCGCAACTCCTGGTGGGACCCATCGCTCCCATCAACGGCTCCGATGCTTTCTCCTCCCTCTTCAAAACCGGTCTCCTGACTTCGACCAGCCACCGCAGAAGATCCCGCTCAGCGGTCGCGTCGGCGGCGGCGATCAACGGCGAGCAGAACCACTACGCCGTGCTGGGCGTCGCTTACAGTGCCACGTCAGCGGATATCAAGAAGGCTTATCGCCTCCTCGCCCGAAAGGTAGTATTAGTTTCAGTTCGTGTTTGTAGTTATGTTTGGCTGGTGAGAAAGTGTGAGAAAATATGAAAGAAAGTTTATTTTTTGAGTTTAAAATGTCATTTGATAGTTAATTACTCTTACTATATTTTCTAAATTTTGCTCTAAACTTCAAATTCCAATATGTAGTGTGTTAATTTATAGTATTATTCAAACTCAGTATTAAGTTTAACTTTCATGAAATTATATTAATAATTTTATAGCTAAATTAAGGGTCATACTAGTGATTTGTGTTGCCAGTTAAAGTTATGAATGTTATTAACAACATGAGACTTGTAACATTTACGGTAATTTTATGCATACAAACTGGGGATATAGACTGATATGATATTGCTCTTTTACTGCCAATTTTTCATATCATTCATCCTTGCTTATTGAGTCGACATTTTGCATTTCACTTACCAGACCAATTTGTATATATGAGTTTTCTGTATAAAGTTTGCCTATGTAGTAATATTCTAACACATGTTACTGTAATGATTCTTTATTATATCTCATGTTTTAATGTTACTAATATGATGTTTGATCATACCTATGAACTTTGGATGTAATCAAACCTGTTGTTTCCGTGCGGTACGAATAGACCTTGGATGTTATCAAACCCATTGTTTTGATAATGGTAACAAGTTTTTGAATCTTGGTAACATAGCAGCTTACTTATATTGATTTATGACTAGAAAGATTGAATTCGGTAGCTAAGTGTGAGTGCAATAGATTATTTCATTCTCTCGATTGTATTGTAATAATTTTTTAATAAAGCCTACCCTTATGAATAATTAAACCTGAAAAGATTTGGTTTGGACCTAACCCTTGTCCTCTGTGCCTGTTTTTACTCATACGTCTTGATTTTGAATCTGAATGAATAGTCCTCCCTAAGATTCATCTTATTTTTATTTTTATTTTTTGTTGAAAATTTTCAAGTTAAAAAGTTTCATTGTAATTGTAATATGATTTGTTTGTATTCATGTGTCTTCACGCTGTGGTTGCAGTATCACCCTGATGTTAGCAAGGATTCACAAGCTGGTGAGGTGTTCAAGACTATCTGTCATGCATATGAAGTGAGATTTCCATATAACCTTCTTTGTCTGTGTCCTACTAATAAGTGCTTTTAATTTGTTTGGACTGACTATCTAAATTTGATACCAATAAATCTTCTTGGTTTATTGTTTCTCATAGCTGTTTTAATTTTCCTTGAAAGCATGAATGGTTTTGTCATAAAGAGAGAATGAAAAATGACCAAAGGTTCTTCTATACCTGTTTTTTTTTCCCGTCTACTTGGGTGATATCACAAACTTTGAAACTTTGCAGTGACTGTTTGCTTTCTTAGTTGCAAAAGCACTTTTCTTTGCCCAGCACTTTTCTTTGCCCTTCATGTAGAATGGCAGAATGTGGTAAAGTCTATCTGAGTTTATATTGTCTAAAGGGTAGCAACTGTTTGCAGTACATAAAAAGAACTGCTCCAGATCTTGGCTCTGTATAAAAAGGCGACAACCTCTTTAATTTGATAAATAATGGACGTCAGTTCCAAATTTATATTAGTTTAGTACAATTACAGCCCAACCAAAATATTACAGCCCAACCAAAATAATATCACCTTGTACATAGTCGTGTACTTTCTGCTATGAGAAAATTGCTTTTTGATCTTTTTTTAATGTGTGTTAACTGGTTATTAATGCTTTCTCCGGATTTTCGATGGAAGGTTTTACGTACTTCCTTGTAAGGCGACCAATTTAAAAGACATTTAACATTTTAGAAAATCTATTAGTTCACAGATTTTAAACTTAATAACCTGTTTGATGTAACTTACATAACCTATCTGTTCTTTGTCATATCCAGGTACTTTATTTCTTTTCCCTCTGGTTTTTTCTTTTCTTTTCTTTTCAGACTGGATATTGTTTGGAGAACCTTGTTACAATAATTTTAATTTTTAGCTCTCTTTCAAACAGGTTTTATCTGATGAAGTAACAAGGAGTAAGTATGACCGGGCACTTAAATTTCAAAAAGATACTGGCAGGTCATACAGAGGAAACTGGAGCTATAGCCCTGAATTTGATGATGGTGTAAGGATCTATAAGTGGGCTGAACTGAGGCGGAAAATGCAAAATGAGAGATACTGGAAAGGTTACAGTAATCATGAAGAGGATTCTTCCTTTGATGATGAAACAGATGAGGAGGATGAAGAACACCTAGATCAAGAGAGAGTATCCTTTAGCGAAGTTCTAAGATCAACCTTCATCTCTCTGTTTATACTGCAGATCTTTGGATCCCGATTATCGCTCACCTTTAGTAGCCTGACAGCATTGTTTGACAAAAAGCTGGATTCTGGATACAAGATGGGTTATCTAATTGCATGGGTTTTGGGTGGGAGAGGTGGCATATTGCTAACTTTATGCCTCTCATTTGCAAGCTGGGTCTGTGGAAAAACCAGCAGCAGTATAGTTGTTCTGGTAGTCATAGCTATGTGGTTTGGCTCCAATCTCGCCAGATGTGCCCCTCTTCCTCAAGGTGCCCTTTTAGCTCTTCTGTATATGTCCATTAAGCTACAAGTTGATCTTAGCTAAACCACCACTGTCACAGCCGCCGCTGCCGCTGCAATCTATTGAAAGATAACTGTAATTTGTATATATGTTTGTTCACTTGAATGTAACCCATAAGCCAATTTGTTGGAAAACAAAATTATCAATCAAGATGCTAGTTGAAATATTCACAACCCTTTTGTTCCAAGGCCTGAAATCTTGAAACTTAAATATGATTTTTCTTTCATTAATTGCGAATGGGATTCTTACAATCTGAAAGCAGATTCTCAACAGAAGTTTTCTACACGTACAGAGTGGTAAAAGATCTCTACACTGGAAAGATTCAAATAGAAGATGAAAAATTCTACTTCTGCTCTAATCTTTCTTCATCTCCTTGAGATTCCTCCACAAGTACCTCCCGCTAGCCATGTCAACGAATACCCAGAACCCGTTTTGAACCAACTGCAATTCAATAAAAAACAACATCAGATTCAGAAACCAAGAAACCAAAATCAGAATCAGAATCACAAGAAGCAAAGAGAAAATCAATATACCCTTTTGAAATTGAACTCTTGTTTATCTTTCAACAATGCCGTTTCGCTCATCGAATCCTCCGAGATAGCCGTGTCGATTTCCGAAGAAGAACGGACAGTTCTCCAGGCGAAATACCCAGCAAGAAATGCTGAAAAGAACACCAAAATAAACCTCATAGGACACATATTCTTCTTATTCTTCTATGATCTTGCAGTACAAAAACGGAGAGACCTTTGAAAACTTGAACGGAATTCAATTCCTAAACGAAGAATGTACTTTTTTTCTGAATGATTTGTAGACCGATTTAATGCGAACAAAAGAACGAAGGGGTTTGCTTTTTTAAGCTGGTAGCTTTATGGAATTTGAGAAACCGCGTTGTTGAATTTTGGGGAGGAAAGTTTCAATTTATGCTGTTTTGGAGTTGGGAATTGGTATTGTATTGTATTTCATGTTTTTAGTCTCCGACTCCATCCCGTACAAGGTTTCTTAATTTTACAATACCCATGATTTCTGGAAAAAGTTTCCAATATCACCTTTTGAAAATTACAGAAACGCCCTTTCAAGGGGAGCTTATGAAACTTTCTAAACTTTACGGATTTTGATACTTTGAGCCATTTTAAATGGAAGGGAGTAATTACTCATTTACCCTACTAGTATTAATATTAAAGTAAAAACTTAACTCACATGAGGGTTGATGTAATAACAAAAATCTCTCTAAGGGTCCTGAAATAATAAAAATCCTCGTAGCCGTTAAAATTTACATTATTATGAATTTACTTAATTGCCTTCATGTTGTTTATGTTAATGTTAATACCTAAAACTTAACGATAAAGGGGATTTTTTAATAGAACTATTTTACATTACCCGAAACAAACTTTCTACCATTAGTAGGAGAGGAGGACTAAGGGGAATCCACCGAAGCCCAAAATGCATTAGCATCTCAAACATATTGGGGAAATATTGAGAAAACAAACGAAGAACGTCTTTTGTAAAAGAGAAAACTACATTGTCCGATGGACTGAAAGCTTTAACACAAATTGACTCAAACTAAGAAGTTACATATTACCATAAGTAATAAATAGGAAATTGAGAATAAGGAGAGATAGACGCGAACAAGCAAATTTGTTCTTTCAATGGAATGTAAGGACGCATCTTGATAGACTAGGCCTATTCAAGAAAAAAAAAAAAACGACTCACACTATTATAAATTTTGTTATGTTTAAAAAATCAGGATTGACGTAAGCTTATGTCAGTGAGCACCAATTAGAGTTCAGAAAGGCTTTACACTATCTAAAGTCTGCCACGTCGCCCACGACCGAAAGAATATAGATGTCAACAATCCAACCAACTCAAGTTTTGTTTGTGAATGAATTTGGTTTGCACATCTGTCCAAGCCTCATTTAATTTAAGGATACTTCCTAAGTTATCAACTCATGAGGCGCTTAGAAGGACTTGCACGGCACCTACCCATTTACAGATATGTAATCATTACCTTGGGCTCAGTAGGTATAAATAGAAAACTCCCTCTCATAAAATCGAGATCAGTATTTAACAAAACAAATAGTAAAGACACCTTACAGGAAAAAAACTGACTTGATATTCTCTTAAAATATCAAGCATTTGTAACTCAGTTCAAAGTTCACGACCTCTTATAAACATGGCTAATCACCAAGAACACTCATATAAAAAAAACAATGGATGTAGGAATCGTTTTAAACATTCGAACTACTATAAAACTCTCATTATCTCATTTATTTTAAGTTTTTGAATGCTACTATGACAATAGTATCTCATAACCAATTTACGTGTAATTTCTAAGATCTTCTTAGCATTTTACAAGTGTGAAGTCGTTAGTATCAAAATCTAACATCAACAAATTTACCTAATTACCCATATACCATTTATTTTATCCCCTAAAACTTTCATGGTAGGGAGATTTTGTTATTTTAGAAACTACAAGGATCTTTTGTTATTAAGCCAAACCTAGGGGTGAGTGATAATTCTCGATATTAAAAATATTGTTACAAAGTCAAAAGAAGCAGCTCACCAACTACAGGAATCTAAAAGGTCAGCCAATATTTATTTATAATTTTTTTTTGTTGAAGAAGATGGAGTTGAGACGTGGACCGTGGTGGCCACATTCTTTGAAAATAAGAAAAAAGAATGAGCTGTATTCATGATTTTTTAATTGCAAGATTACAAAAATAATGTGATATTATAGAAATGATTAGATAATGCTTGGACTTTGTCATAACTTCTGGTACTTTAATTAATTCTCAATTTTTCAAAACTTTGAAACTATCGATCGGATAAGAACTCTAATGACTATTTTTATTAACAATCAATGAGAGATTTAAACTCAGAACCTTTTGAATAATACACCCAAGAATCTCTATCAAACCACTCGATCACTTAAAAGTAGTTATAACAATTTGTCATTGTCTTTTTAATTTTATTTTTTTATGTTTATTAGATTTCAAGAATTAGCGGGGTTTTTTTTAAATAAGTAATTTAGAAAAAGAATCTTTTTATAAATTTCAAAATAAGGTTATTCACATTTTTTTTATTATTATATTGATATTCGATAGAATTTAATATTTAATGCATATTAAAAAAATATAATAAATAGTCAATCTTTACCGACCTAATGCATTAATCTAATCGCTCAAAAATTGAAGAACATGCACCCAATTTAAATATTAATTTTTTAAGTGGTGTGGTTGGGAGGTTATAGTTAGGGGCCATTCGGCTAACTGTAGCTTTGTCATTGTTTTGAATTGTTTTTTCTGATTATCAAGGGATATATGATTAAATTTCCCCAGAGATTTGGCTTAAATAACATTTTTGTCTTGTAGACATTTCTAGTAACATTTTGATCCTAATTATTAACAAATTTCAGGGACCAAAATGTAACTAATAGTAGGGGTGAGTAGGTCTGGGTACCCGTCCAAAATCAAAAGAACCGGAACTAGAATCGGAACCGATCGGTTCCTTGGATTTGGAATCGAAACCAGAACTGACCGGTTTCGGTTTGTAGAAGTCAAGAACCAAAACCTAAAACATAGGTTCCAGTTTCGGTGTCGAGTGCCTAATTAATTTTAATTACCCCATAATTTTTATTAAATAACAAATACACCTAAATAGTTTACAAAAATTATAGTTCAGTCTCGGTTTCCACTCAGGAACTCAGGTACTCGAATCTCGATTTTGGTTTTGGTTCCAAGTTCCTGCAGTGGTAAAACCGGAACTAAAACCACATAGTACCAGTTCCCAGTTTTTGAGAATCGGAATTGACCTTGTGAAGGCCGGTTTCGAGTAGGAACTGGAACCAAAATCCCGAGTACCCATCAGTTCCGATTCTATCCCAAACTTATGCTCACCCCTAATTGATATGGACCAAATCGATACCAAAAACTCCATAAGATTGAAGGGGAATTAAGCCAAACTTGAGGGATGAAATTGTTATTTTCTCTACAATTCATAAAATTAGGAAAAAAATACTTCAACATGTGCAATCACTTGAAAGAATCTTATGATTTGATTATAAAATATGTAAAATATGTAGTCATAATTGTTTGTGTTTTGTATGACTTTTACACTAATTTTTTTTAATCATTAATATAATTTTTTTCCATAATAATTCATTTTTATTGTATTTCCATTCCATTAAACGTTAATGTACTGATTTTTGTGTTAAAAAATTAAAATTGTAAGACTTGTAGAAACCTCATTTATCAAAAAAATAATTCATATAAAATTCATTTATTTTACGATTGTTTGTATCGTAAAAATATAAATTATATGGGCTTTATTTTTCTAATGAAAATCCAATGGGTAATTATGGGCTTTATTTAAACCTAAGAATTAGGGCCATTTGGATGGGCTTTGGTTTTATAATAGTCCAATGGGTAATGGATTTGAATAAAGTTTTCCATGTACAAAATGTATTTTTTTGTAATGGGATTTTTAGCCCCTACCTAGTTGGTCTTCAATCCCCACTTTTAAATTTATTTTGTATTTTTACAAATTTAACCTTAATTTAAATAACTAGAAATAAACATTATAATTTCTACATACACTCATATTATATTTGACATTTTTGTTTTAATTTTTAACATTTAATCTTATATAAACCCTAACCCTAAATTAATATTATCATTGAAACCTTTTGTTTTATTTTAAATATTTGTTTGTTTGATGAAAATATAATACTGAAATTATGAAAAACATAACGAGATGAATCTGAATCTGAAATTAAAGAAGAGAAAACAAGTTGAAATTAGGAAATTGGAGAAAAAAGTGTGCAAAGAAAAAACCTAATTAAGTTTGATTTGGGAAAAAGGGTATAAAACAAAAAAACTAATTAAGTTTGAAACTGGGGAAAATAAACCTAATTAAGCTTATAGAGTTATTTTCATTATTAAATACGGTTTAAAGAGTTTTTTTTTTTTTTAAATTATTGAAGGGATTTACTTAGCCATGACCCAGGAGGTAAAGATCAATTAGATGGGGGCTATAATGTTAGAATATTTCCTAATTGTGGGCTAACATTAATTGTATTTTGGTTTGATAAAACCGAGTAAATACACAGTCCAATGAGATATCCTGATGGACTTAATGCGATCATTCTGGGAGGGCCCATTACACTTTATTTTGGTAATCTGGGTCGATGACAAGTGTGGGCTTGGGCTTGTAATGAGTTTTAGAATTTATTGGACCTTTAATGGAATGACCCAATGGAATGTTATAAATTGGCTAGGTTTCATTTCCAGAATGTGATCGTAGGCTAGACCTCATTAGGAAGTCGTTATTCTAGAGCTTTTTAAAAAAGGGAAGACTGGTTATTACTTGCAAGGAATTCAAGGAATTCAGAAATTATGGTAGGATCAGGTTTTACTAATCCTTAATCTTTGAATTCAGTATTCCATAATCGATATGCAGATCTAAGGATTGATTGTTAGAATTGAGTGGAATTCATGTTAAAATTCCAACATAAAAATCACTTCCCAATGTCTTTTCAAGTTCAAAATCCAATATTTGTTACTCAAATATTGGATTTAATGTTACAAATATTGGGTTTAATCATATGTGACATGTGAGTATGGAGAAATAGTTGTAACAATAAATGGATCCAATATAAACATAAATTATTAAATTTGACAATTTAACCATAGCTTATAAGTCATAAAGTTTATTGTCAATAAACATCTATTAGAGATATTGTAATAGTTTAGGCCCAATTGAATAGATTATTTTGATTTAAAAATTTAAGTTGATACAACTTAACGTATAATATAACCCTATCATCATAAAGTTTATAGTTTGTGTTGAAGTATAAAATAGGAAATAAGATTATCCTCACTAAAGACTATGTTCTATATTAGGTTAGGATCAAAGCTATTAAGAATTAGATCAGTTATAATAGG